ATGACATTGCTCCCAAGAGCCAGATAGATAAGGAAACATTAATCATGGATACATCATCTGTACTAGTTAAACCTATCTAATGGTCCTTTATAAAAATATTTGTACCATTTTGTCAGTCCACAAACCCTCTAGCCCTATTATCACAAAAACACTACAGGTAATAAAAAGTAGACTAAAGAACTGAGGACTAGTTTCCCAAAATAACACACCAAACATCTTCCTTTACGATTTTATACCTATAAGATGGAAAATGCAGATGAAAAAGTTTCGGTTGTTGGGAGTAGGGCCAATTAAAGATCAGAAAGCCAACTCCTCAGTTTCACAACACGGTCGGTTGGACTCAAAACAAAATTAGGGTGGGAAAAGCAGAAAGAAAATAAAAGCCTTTTAACTATAATAAAGAGGTCCCTACCCTTTGGCCTCTCCTCTTTTCTATTCTTCATTATTTCTGGAACTAAGAAACTTATCTTTTCCAGGTTTCTTCATACCCTTTTCAAGATGGTTTCCAATTTGTTGCCTCGTGAAATTATCAAGTTACATCCAGGGCATTGCTTCTTTTCTCCAGGAGTCTTCAAATATCCTTCAATGGTCATACAGAAGAAAAAGGAACAACTAGCAATCCCAATCCAGGTGTTGCTGGCAAGATTGATTACTTCTAAATGTTTAAAACAACCCATTTTCTATTTGGCTCTCTTCCACGTTCAGTTCTGTCAACTGCAAGCCTCCGGATTCCTAAATCAAAACAAGATTGCAATTGCTTTCACTTTTATTTTTGCACTGTTTTATGTCCTGGTTCAGAAAGAGAAACAAAAAAGGATGTTCACAGAAGGGAAATGTTTGAGGAACCTGCGTTAATCTGAGCTACAACTCTGAACCAAATTTTAATATTATGATACTGTTGAGATCACAAAAATATTAGCATTTACAGAAATAATTCTTAGCGGGCCAAAGCTATTAATTTTAACTCAATTTTTACTATCTTGATTCTCTGCTGACTATAATTGAAACCCTTTCAATCGCATCATTATAGGCACTAATCTACATAGAAGTTATTGAATGAATGTAGATATTATTCATTTCCATAGTAATTTACAGTAAAGGGCATTGACAATTCAGAAATTTTATTCTACTCTCTAGACCAGGGATAGGCAACCTTGGCTCTTTTATGACTTGTGGCTGGCTCAGGAATTCTGGGAGTTGAAGTCCACTAGTCATAAAGGAGCCAAGGTTGCCTACCCCGGCTCTAGACAGACAAATATTAAAAAGAAAAGTAAATCTCCATACCATAGTTCCATAACTGCATTTCCATAGTCTCAACTTAAAAGGTGTCTCAAAACCAGAGATGGAGAACGTTGTGCTTTTGCAGAGTCCTGAAGAGAACTCTAAGCATTGGCACAGTACTAGAAGGTGGACTGCTAGCAACATCTGGATAACCAGTCCTGCTCCAGGCCTCCATCCTCTTCCTGGAACTCCCCACTAAACCTTAAAACAAGCACTGTATATTTGGCGTCCAGAGGGAGAAAAATAACTTGTCTTGCTTGTTTGTCTTCAATCGCCCATGATGAAAAATGCAACCCGTAAAGTTTGATGGAAAATGATGATGGAGAAGAATATTTGTAGCTCAGGGTTGAAATGAGGAGTCTTTGGTTCTCTCTGAACTTGGTTGTTTCCTTGCATAAGTTTCATTATCCAAACGAGGTAACATCATCAATGCTGGTGCAGGATCTACTACCACAGTGAAATGTGTAAATCCCAGGGTACAAATAAAATTCAGAAAACCACCAGCATCATAATGTTTACAATGTTGGTGCATTTGGAAAATTCTGTACAGTTCTGGCTACTTGGCCGCTAAAAATGATACAGAAAAGCACGGTGAAAATGATCAAGAACTTCGGGAAATTCTCCTATGAGGTTTTCAAATTTGGGATTTTTGTTTGTTTGTTTAGAGCAAATGTGAGAGAGGCAGACAACACTTTCAAAAGAGTAACATATTTTCCCAAGGAAATAAATTGATTTTTATTTTGAATCAGTATGACATCCCAATATTAAAATATGTTATAAATAAAGCGTTTCAGAATTACTATTCAAGATTTGAAGACAAAACATCTGACAAAATGCAACTCCACATCCAAAGGCCACAGACCTGGGAATATTTTTAAGGCACATAAATCTGTCAAGAGGTTCTTTTATGTTCTGCTATCTTTTTAAAAGAGTACAAGAGATACTATTATTTTCTTCATAAACTCTATCGACTCCAGTTGGTAGTTTGCCAAGCTGTAAGGCTGACAACCAGGCTTTCAAAGAAACATTGCGGGATACTTGTTGAAGAGATGAAATCCAATAGTCTCTGAGGAAAACTAAAGTAAGAAAGGCTTTTAGAAAGAAATACTGAAAACCTATCATGTATTGCTGAGTAAGATTTCATTATGAGGTTTTCAAAACAGGTCAGATCAAGCAAGTAGTTTTAGCGTGCTCTGCATGGTGTTACAACAACATCTAGGAGATTCCTTTAACATTAGATAGTTACTACCTTGATAAGATGCTATGCATAGATGTCCTTATTGAGAAAATAGCAAGTTCAAGGAATTGGGTGTAACAATCTGAGTACGGACAATCTACAATGCTTCCATACATTTATTTGAAATATTTATATCCTCTGCATCTACCAGAAGCAAAAGTGCTTATATAGTTCAGTGTCATTTTTGCTAAAGAGGTTTAAAGCAACCAACACGTTATCACAGAAGTACAGCTTGATATTACATCAGATGTATTAATCTGTGTAAAATTCATTGCACTATGCATCATAAAAATCATTTAATTCTTTTAATAATATAATATGCAAATCAGTGTCCTGATTTAAAAGAAAAGCGTATAGATGCGATTTAGATAGTTCCCAGAATCTATTAATTCTGGGAATTAATTATTTTTAGTAGATTTGTTCCAACTGTATGGTCAACAACTTTGTTTATAAATGTCATGATACTCATTTTAATCGTTCTCTGCTTACTCCAAAGGCAACAATTAGATTTTTAGGTAAGTTGAAGAACCCAGATTGTTACATTCCCATTAAGTTAACACAGTCTGTATTATAAAATATCTTTATTACATATCTATATCATTTATTTTATGCAGAGACAGAACAAAACTAAAGAATTTGGAAATACAGATGGGCATGTGCTTCCACGGTCTTTTAGCATCAGAGGAAATTCAATGAACAGTAAAAAGAAAGAATTATAAATGTAATCTAATCTTATTTTTTAATAAAAAATAAACATGTCTAAATAAGGCAAAACATTACTCCCAGGTGTAAAACAACTGTATATAGTGGCTATCATTTAAATCCGAAGTAAAGAAATTAATTCTGCAAACCAAACTAATTTGCCAGTGTTTTGCATTAGAACATTTGTTTTTCCATTTCTAAATCAAATGTGTTCATAAAAAAGAATCAGCTTCAATTTCTTCCCCTTTTATTACATTCAGTCATTTGCATAATTATTTTAGGTCTACTTTGCCAGTTTCTCTATAACATTTCGAGCTTATTTTTTCTCTCAAGAAAAGAGGTACAGAATCTCAAGCTGGAGTGACAATATCCAAATTCTATTACCTATTTAATGTTTCGCCACTTTGTGTGGAAAAAAGTGATATTAAGACATTTAACTTGCAGCTTGAAGCATCTTTTAAAAATGCAGTCTCACAAAAAGGATAGTTGTTACAAAGTGAACAAAATTCCATATCCAACACTGTTCCATGAAGCAGTTGTTGGCAAAAATCCCATACTGGGATAGATAGTATCTACATTCTCAAAATGAATGTATTTTTAATAAATATATTTACCATACTAGGAAAAAAGTGTTTAGGTTAGTCTTTTCTGGAAGCAAATTAAAGGAAATTTTCAAGGTATAATACTGTGAGCAATGCAGCTTCATCATAATGTTGAGGTCTTTAGAATAACTGAATTCTCTTCTGTATGCTTTGTTCTATTTTGATGTTTCAGTGCTTTTATATTTTTAATTCTGTAAAAAAAAGAAAGGGAAAAAAAGACATTCTCATAATATAATCCTCCAAAATAATTCAAACGTATTTCAACTTCATGTTTAAGGAATATGGTTGTTCTTTAATATGCAGTAAATGTGTCTACATGCCTCGCTTCAAACCAACCTGTGTACAAAGGCATAAATGACTAAAATGTGCATTATGAGGTCAGAAAGATATTCATTCCTAGCATATTTAGGCTGAAACATTTTGTGCAAGTACATAAGGAGCAAAATTGTGTAATTTCATTAAACTCTACTCGTACCCCTCCATGAAAGTCTATGGCAACTTGGGAAACCTACTGTAGTTTATATAGACTTATGATATAATACAAAAGTAGCATTCTAGAGACTTATGGAAACTACCCAGACATTTTGGTTTAATGATTTGGAAAAGATGAGAGAGATGATCTTGACAAAAACCTATCGGCTTTTGTGAAACTCAGGAATGGAGTGAACATGCTTTGATCATAATAAAAATATATGGTCGGCTTGTTATGTTTAAGCCCGTCTTACCCAAACATCAGCTAACTTCACCTTTTTCAGCTGCGGGGAACTTAGAACTAAACCATGCTTTCAATTACTGAAAATGTTGTTGGGAAATTGTTGTTTAGCTTTAATTTAACAGAACTATGATTTGGTCTCAAAAAGTTAGGAAAGGAACAACTGGAATTTCTCTTGCATATCATAACACTGTTCCTAGGAATTTAATAATTTCCTAAATGTTAATAATTTATAATTTACTAAACTTGTATGCTGCTAACTCTCAATGACTCCATGAATTTAGTCTCAAACGTTTCTTCCATTATATTATTCTTTATGCCATTCTTTTAAGTACCCTAATAATATTTATGGTAAGAATATATTACGGTATTCTAATATTTTCTGTAGTAAATTTCAAATGCTTTTCCAAAACGATCTGCTGCAATATTAGCTGGGATTTCTGCTTATTTCTACTCTGCAACATCCTTACCCTTTAACTCTTAGCATCTGTTCAATAGTGTCTGGGAGAGGAGTGCCATAACTTTCCGGGAGAAAAAAGGTCAGGATTCCTGCAAGCACTGTTAAACTTCCCATTAAGATGTAGGGAAGAAATCTATCATAGGCACCTAGTGGAAAGGACAAATAGCAATGAGTTATTCATATCAAGTTGCTTAACATTTACATTTCCTAATATTGTGGCTTCGAGGTATGGTTTACATTTATAGATTTATTTGGATCTGATTTGGAAGATGATCATTACTTCCTCAAAATGAAGATCAGAAATGGGGATCAGCTTCTCCATCTCTATACATCTTTCCTAGCAGCAACATATTATAAATGTGTATATACAAAAATATACAAGATGTTTCGATTCCCACTATGGATGAATGGCTACAGAAGAGATGGCTAAACTGACCGTTTTGATTAAAGAAAAGAATATGAGTACTTTTGTTTCTACTTGGAGACCGCTTCTGGATTTTGTGCTTGAGATGGAAAAAAAATGAAACTTGGATTTTGGGTTTTTTCTGATTAGATTGATTTATTCTTACAGAAATGACTAGTTTATACTATTATGGAGAAATAAAAAGTCGAGGTTCAATGTTAATGCTTCATTCTTCTGCAACAGAGGAAGTTGGAAGTCAATGCCTCTTCTTTTCTTTTTCCCTTCTCCCCCTTTTTTCTCCTCCTTTTCCCTCCCCATTGTGTCCTACTATTTGCTTTTGTATTTTTGTATTGTATTCTATAATCTAATAAAATGTTACAAATGAAAGGAGAAAAAAAATTATGTGTGTATAACCGAAACCAGTAAGCGTTCACTGTAATACCAAAAAGCAGGGCATATGATCGAGTTGGCAGAAAATATAACGATAGACAACTTACCAAGATACACAAAATAAGGCGAGAGGATGCTGCCAATTCTGGAGGCCATTGAACTGGCTCCAACTCCCATGTTTCTCACAATAGTTGGGTAGAGCTCAGCCGTATACACATAAACCATGGAGAAGGAGGATGTGATCCCAAATTTTCCAATCATCACGAGGATGATGGACAGAACATGGAGGTCTATAAGCAAGAGCCAAACAAAATGAAATTAAATCTGCCAGTAAATCGATGAAACCAATTGCCTGCCTTTTTTCTCTTCTTCATTTATAGATAATCCTCACTTACCAAGTGCCTCATTCAGCAACCGTTCAAAATTATGATGGTGCTGTCCCTAAATAACCTGATTGCCGCAATCACATGAACACCATTACAGTCAGTATACATTGCCCTGTGCCTGACCTGTTTTTCTTTTTCCCGTCCATTGCAGAGCCGAGACTGGAGAGGAAATGATTACAAGAGAGTAAGATGGTCCACAGTGAGGAATATATTGGCTGTTTGCTGAGCATGCTCACCGTTGCCAGTGCCATTGCATTGCTTTCAATGTGTATTCTCTACTGTGTGCCTGTTTAGTCTCTTATAATCTCTTTTTCTCCAATGAATGTAAATACAAACATTAATTCCCTTACTGCTAATTATCCCAATGCCCAGGGAGCATTCCAAAGGGCAGGGAAGTAATTAGGAGTCTGATTAGTTTTAAGCCAGAAACTGATTATTTTTGAGCCAACTATCTCAGTGCTGTGGGTGGAGTGGGGGAGCATTCCAAAGGGTGGGGGAATGGAGAAAAGGAAAAGTACAGTCACAGTCATGTGATTTTCCATTTAATGGTCATTTAGCTTAGTAATGGGGTTATCACTCCCAACTGTTGACACTTAATGAGGAATACCCGTATTTTATTATATCCCTATGGTATATTAGCCATTTTATTCTACTTCAGGCAAGAACCTACGTTACCAGATACATCTACTGAAGTAGAATTTCTATTATAATTGTTTTTCTAATAGTGAAATGGTATTATCAAATGAAAAATTAATATATCAGTGTTTAATTGCCAGTACACTCAAGAACAAATAAATAAAAAATCAGAATTACAGCACATCTTTTTTTTAATATCACTAGAGAAACAAAATGAACACAAAATGAAGTAGGTCTGCAACATATCTCTGTGTATCATAGCATTATTATGGAAAAGTGCTTTTTAAAAAAAAACAAAAAAACCTTAGTTGGCTATCCCCATTGATTGTATCTATAAAGTGTCAAGGAAAGCAATCTTACGTGCAGGCACGAACTGAATGAAAAGAAGAACGCAGCCTCCTAAGAACAAGACTCCTGCCATTGAATAACGCCGGGGCAGATGCTGAAGGAGCAGCCAAGAGATAGTATAAGCTGGGATTTCAATTACTGCTGAAAGGAAACAATTGAGGTAGATGTCTCCATGCAAGTTAGGGGTATCCAGAGAGAGGCCAAAGTAGCCTATGGAAATCACCATCCTGAAAGACAGATCTAGGTGATAACAAACATACAGGGGCAATGACACTATTCTGCATGGGACTTGAGTGGGTAGACTTTGCAACCAGCCGGCATTACCTTTGCGCACTTTACAGCCAGTTTCCAAAAAAGCAGAGTCAATAGAGAAGCCAGCAACGAAATTGCAAGTCATGTCCACATGATGTCTCACCCAACGACCATAGGTGACTTGCTTAACGATCATGGTGGAAGAGGGATTGTAAGTCTGTTGTGGTCATGTGATGTTTTGCTAATGACTGCATCACTTAGTTGACGGGGTTGCCAGTCCCAATTGTGGCTGTTAAGTGAGAACTACCTGCCTTTCTATTAGAGTGTTGGAATGACAGAATATTAATTTTGCTACACAGTATGAGGCAATTTGCCATTTATGCACTTGTATTCTTTACTTTAAACTGTTGATATCTCTTTTTATAAAAACAATTGCCAGTAAATATTATTAAAATTTCTTTCCAGGGATGCGTTCCATTCATACAAAATAGGAGAATGCCTTACTCCCTTTGTCATGCGTAGAAATCCAAGATGAGCACACAACAGAGTACTGGACATGTATAACTTTTGCTAAGGAGAAAAGATGACATAAATTGGGGCGTGGATGGGTGTGTGTGTGTCTCTCTCTCTCTGTGTCAATATAAACTAATCCTTATTACAGTCATAAACCAGCATTAGTAAATAAACAGTAATTACACATAGATCCATATTTACAAGGAATCCTTAGCCTAAATGTCACCTGAAGTATAAAATGGAAGATTGTGGGCATGACATGAACAACAGAGAAAAGTGGTTTCTAGAGGCCAGCCACGTGTTTACAATTTGCATGCTGAAATAGTGCAACTGTAAAAAGTGGCAGAATGAAGGTTTTTTAAATGTTCTTTCAAGTTCCAAGTTGTTCAGAATACCCATAATTAGCTAACCAAGACAAACTGATATAATAATTTGTATGTGGAGAATTTAAACTTGCTCCTGGAAACAGTTCGACTAGGAAATCATCTGAGACTGACGTACTCATATTAGGCAGAGAGACATGAAATCTCTAGAGTGGGTGATATTTTGAAAGCTAATTTTCAAAGACAATGGTACTTGAGCAAATAAATGCTTAAGATTTAGACTGATATATAGATTTCCATGAGCAAGTCTAAGAAGTGCCCCATGCCCTTATTTTTCTGCAAGTAAATAATTTCATGACATTGACTTCTTGAAATCTGGTTTCTGGACTCTGGAAATGTAGGCATTTTCTAGGAATCGATTTATCAGTTGCTTACCATAGAATCACAGACATGATAGTGACTGTTCGTATATTTGGGGTTCTCACTAGGTCCAAAATGCTGCAGGACTGCTGAACTTGGGAATTCAAATCTTCCAGCTATATAAAATAATACATGCATATGAGAATCAAACGACACCCAACGTACCTGTTGGCTTATAAGCAGATAACTTGCAAACATTACTTATTTGAAAAACACAGTATGTCAAATAAACTGCTGCAAAATTACAACAAATGGCATAGAATAATTTTCACGCAAGAACTATCTATTTTAGAATCATGGCCCAGTATCATGTTATAGAATCAACAACCAGCAATTTCATGAAAAGGGACTGAAAGGCTTTGGACACATAGAACAGACTATTTTAATTCATGTTTTTTTTTTCTCCAAGCACAGGAGCCTAGCAATAAATAATTCACAGACTCAATATACATGGTTACCTCAGCAAGATCAAATATTACTTCGGGGGCTACAACATGGTTCCTTTCTGCAGCTTTACGAATGATATCTTCTGCTTCCTGAATCCTTCCTTGAGAGAGTAGCCAGCGAGGAGATTCTGGAATGTACCTGCAAGTATTTTATTACAACGTCAATAGAATAACTAGAAATACAAACCTTCATTGATATACTTATCAGCAGATATTTTTCCCACATTATCAAGCAAATACTGTTTCAGAAAAAAATATGTCTATTAAGAAAGCCTATAGTCCAGTGGTTCTCAACCTTTTTAATGCCGCGACCCCCAACCGGTCGTAAGTCGAGGACTAAACCTGTCGTAAGTCGAGGACTAAACCGGTCGTAAGTCGAGGACTACCCAACCGGTCGTAAGTCAAGGACTTTCCTTGCCCGGGAGCACCGCACATGCGTGGTTCCGCCCCCTGCGCCGGCCGAGGTGTAGCTGGCAAGCGGCAGAGACGGAGCAGGCCAACCACCAGCTGGCCCAGCCCAAGGGAGGTAAGGCACCCACCGGAAAAGGGGAAAAAAAATGGCAGACAGCCTTGCTTGGCGACCCCCGTGAAATGGTCGATCGACCCCAAATGGGGTCGCGACCCATAGGTTGAGAACCGCTGCTATAGTCAGCTATGAATGCTTGGGTTAAAAATGTATATACTCTCACATCAGAACTCCATCTTGAGGCTGGTTTTGCTGCGGAGAGAGGCTGAGGTTGGATCAAGGTGCTCTGGAAGGAAACTAGTATTTTTCATCAGGAACTGCAGTTAAGTCCTCTTCCGGGTGAGTGTTTTATGTCACATAGAAGAGGACCCTGACAGAGGTCAGTGACCTGCATGGCTCCAACTGGCTGACTGAAGGATTACCTCTCCTATTCAGCTACAGGGCTCTATGCATCTGGGACCATTTCAGTTTTGACTGCCAGAAAAAACAGTGGTTCACTGGGCATCCAGGAAGTTTTCCCACAACTTTTCTGGTCCAAAAATTACTTGAAAGGACTGGCTGTCCTTAATGGAGAATAGGGAAGAGGAGGATAGCCAGGATGCCTTTTTCTACAGAATTTTCTTTTTTCCTATAAAACATAAGTTGATTGTTTTGCTGATTTGCTACCTAGGCTTGAAAAATCCAGAGATACGGCAATTTGGAGATTTTTCCCTTCTCCAGATAAAGGTATAAGATCGCTTGTTGTTTTATAATGTCTGAAAATGTGATTTTTCCGGTAACACAACATTACTTGTTCCTAATTTTAAAGGTGATGTGATGGAAATGATACATTTGTGAGTTTGAGGAAAAAAAAGAGTGCTCTGAGGAAAGGCTAATATAATAATAGAAACTCTGATCAGGCCTGTCGGGGTGCTCCTCCAATACCTTGGCTCTGATTGATGGAGTTAGCTGCATCCAAGCATTTGAGATGGAGTGGCTAAATATATTTAAACTTGTTCTAGAAATAAAATAACTATAGACTAACAGATATTTCAAAATTTGGGGCAGGGGGAGCAGGACTCTAGAAATATTTGATAGCTTGGTGTATCTTCTCCAATTTTTAAAAGAGTACAGTGGCACCATCTTGTGGTGTAATATTTTATATGCTTTTAACAAATTGTCCACAGTTGTTTAATGGCAGAATCGTTACACAACAGCTTTTTTTTTAAAAAAAAATTAATATTGGTTTTTGGAATTAACTTTAAACTCAGAAGAATGATTTGATTGAAGATCCTGTTAAATAAACTTTACTACAATGTATCTTTCCATATCAGACCACTGCCAAATAATAAACCGAGATATAAAATCATGGAATTGCAAGAGATCTCAAAAGGTCATCCAAATATGTATTCAAAGAACATGCTTCTTAATTACTTATAACCTACAATGCACTTATAGCATAGTTTAGTTTTTTTAGAGTGTTTGGGAAAATGGATCCATTTGGTTAGTTTCCAATTAATTATATAGGTCAGGGGTGTCAAACTCAATTTCACCAAGGGCGGCATCAGCATTACAGTTGCCCTTGGGGGGCCGGGTGGGTGTGGCCAGAGTGGGTGCAGCCTACTGGGTGGGCGTGGATGGAGTGGGTGTGGCCTACTGGGTGGGCGTGGCCAGTTCTACATCTTTCGCGTCAAGGGTGCCTGTGGGGGCCTGGGCAGGAGTGGGACAGATCTGAGGGTCTCTGGCAGAAGGGGGTGGGACCGGGGCAAGTGCCAAGGCATGGTCCACCGGGGCAAGTGTCAAGATGGCCACCACAAAATTGTACATTGGCTCCCGGCTGGCCTGAGCCAGGGCCAAGGCAGTGGGGGCCATTCCCTCACTGTTTCCAGGATAGCTTCGCGGGCCACATGAAATCACTTTGCAGGCCGCATCCAGCCCCCGGGCCTTGTGTTTGACATATCTGATATAGGTAGTCCTCAACATACAACCACAATTGGACCTGGAATTTTGGCTGCTAAGTTGTTGTGGTTGTTAATTGAGAGGCCCACATGACTGCTTTGCTCAATGACCACAATTCTCACTTTCTCAGTTGTGGTCATTAAGCAATCACAATGGTGGTTAAGCAAATGGCGTGGAAGAACTGTCAGCTGAAAGAAGGTAGGCAGCTCCCCTCCATGAGTGGAAGGGAACATTTGTGGTGGTCCAGAGAAATGAAGCTCAGATCCCAAAGGTCTGAGCTTACTTTTCCAGACCACTATAGGCCTTCCCCTCCACGTGATCCACTTTCTACCCTTCAGAAACATCGCATCGGCTAACTTTCTAGCCAAAAACATCATGACAGATGGCATTCTTATTGTGATTATTCTGAAAGCTAGAACAATCCTCTTTCTATCCTTCAGAACCATTGTGCTTGCTAGCTGTTTGTCTGCACCTCACATCTTGGGAGTTTGGTACACCTGTCAGCAGCTACACCAAAAGGCAAAAGTAAGTGGACCTGGATCTGGTGAGGCAGGGAGAAGGCCTGGGCCTTATGGATGTGGTGGAGCAAGGCCTCCAGTATCACAGCAGCTTTATGAGTGCTGGCGGGACGGGTGGGTGGCTAAGATGGGAGGGAAGAGACAGGCGGGTAGGGGGAGTTGCAGCATCTCCACAATATTTGTATTTCAAAATAGATCCCATGATTGATTTATTTTATGCCGCTAATCTGTATATTGTAGAAATATATTAATACAAAGGTTAGTATTAGATACAAACATTAAATGCAGAACACTGTTTTATTACTAAAGGATAGTAAAAACAAACTGTATATCAGAAAATATAGTATTTCAGCAGGACTTTTATACTTTTAAAACATGCAGTGAGTGAGGACTGAATATCCTGGAGCATGACTATTGCTTATTATTGTAAAAATGTTACTAAGCCCTTTCTAATAAGGTGAGCATGAACAAAATCTGGATGAATACTAGACTGTACTAGACCAAATTTGAGAGGAATGCACGTTTCCCAAGTCATTTTCTCTTGCAGATCTTTTTCTTCCTCTAAAACTTTAGGAGAATGGGTCAGAAATTTAATGCAGTAAAGTTCTTCATTGCATAATTGCACTCATTTGCATTGCATTTAAATCCTAAATATTTATTAACAATATAATCCTAAGAGAACTGTTAACTTATTATTATGTCCTTGGGAATCCAGTCCAATTTAGCCATGGGGGGGGGGGAACAGGTTACTTATTAGCAATAAGTAACAAAATAATAATTTAGTACTACTATTTCTTATTAATAAATTAAAATGGATTGTAAAGATTAGTTGGTACTATTCTACCTTAATTATGACAATTAGCATATTTAGCCCAAACGGTAGTAGTAGTAGTAGTAGTAGTAGTAGTAGTAGTAGTAGTAGTAGTAGTAGTAGTAATAATAATAATAATAATAATATAAATAAATAAAAAGTTGGAAGGGATCTTGGAGGTCTTCTAGTCCAACCCCTTACTCAGGCAGGAAACTCTATACCATTTCAGACAAATGGCTGCCCAGTCTCTTCTTAAAAACTTCCAGTGTTGGAGCATTCACAGCTTCTGGAGGCAGGTTGTTCCACTGATAAATTGTTCTAACTGCCAGAAAATTTCTCTTTAGTTCTAGGTTGCTTCTCTGTTTGGTTAGTTTCCATCCGTTGCTTCTTATCCTGCCTTCTGGTGCTTTGGAGAATAGCTTGACTCCCTCTTCTTTGTGGCAGCCCCTGAGATATTGGAACACTGCTATCATGTCCCCCCTCGTCCTTCTCTTCATTAAACTAGACATACCCAATTCCAGCAGCCGTTCCTTGTATGTTTTAGCCTCCAATCCCCTAATCACCTTTGTTGCTCTTCTCTGTACTTTTTCTAGAGTCTCAACAGATTTTTTACATCGTGGTGACCAAAACTGGATTTAGTACTCCAAGTATGGCCTTACCAAGGTATTAGTTGCTATTAATTTGGGAAGGGCAATGGGGACTTCAAAATAGTAAACACTCACCACCACAATGGAAAATACAACAGCCCTGGAATAGTAAGAGCCATTAGCAGCAATCGCCAGTCTCGAATGAAGTAAGCACCCAGTGGCAGCATCATGTAGCCAAATGCATAAAATATGCAGACACCTAACGTTCCATATATAATGCGGATGGATTTGCCAAGAATTTCTGCACCTGTTCAAACAATTGAGAATGAATTAACATGTTTACTGTAATATACAAAACAATTTTATGCACAGTACTATATGGGAAAAAAATGATTAAAAATACACTGAATTGTTGCTTCTTCTGTGAGTTTATATATGTCAACCATTCTTACTTGAAGAAATACAGAATCAAATCTGAACTGGTACTTTGGAGCCAGCCTGGACACTGTTGCTCTTCCTGTCAGCCGATCTTTCAAGGCACAACTTTTTTGTAGTTTGCATTATAAGTTCACAGAAAACCATGTATTTTGTGTCCAGGAGATAGAATGCAGTGATAGGAGTGTATGAGCATACATTACCAGCATGCTGTCACTGTCTTAACTAAATACAGATTCTCCAGAACCTGCACAGCTACTGCATAAGCCCAGGAAAAGGCCCTTTAAGGAATTGCTGACAGATATAGTGATGATACCAGTGCTGGATTTGAAACACATTTTCCCACAGATACATGCACTCACAGACTTATATAGGGACAAATAAAGAGAGGGATAAGACATTCAGAAAAATTAACACATCCCATAGAAAGGATTCACAGACATGGGAAGGGAGGAAGAAAGGAGATCGAGGTGCACACCTACAAACACATTTACAGGAAAGAAATGGAGGAGAGGAAATTGAATCACAAAGTTAAAAAGCATTTTCCAATAGGAGAAAAAATCCTCCTCTCCTTCAAGACCATTGAGCAAACTGTTCAAAAAAATTAGTAATATTTAAATAAGGAGAAATAATCTTCCACTGCTGACAAATGACTGGAGAGGGGCAAGAAGCTCACCAATTGGCAAGTGTATTGCAATCATCAGGGCCATTAGCGAGGAATAAAATTGTTCCCTCCAGCTGACGGACACTGAATGTTGTTAATTCCCTTGCAGAAAGGATAGTTGCACAGTCACCCACTTGGGAATCTTGCCTTTAATATAGAGCAGAGCATATAAGAAGGGACAAATCATGAACAAAACATCAGAAGAGTTGTCTCATTATTCTAGTTGTATACAGCAAATGTATAAATTGAATGCAAGTTTGAAACAAGAAGGTTGGCTACCAATTCTACTTTTATCAGATACATTTTTAAATTATGCTCTGTTTAGCAATGTTGGAAATACTGCTGTGGAGAAGATAGAAAGAAATTAAAGATGCCCCTCACTGAGCTAATGAGTAAGGCTATTGAGAAGGTCTGTTTGCATTAAGACAATCACATACCAAGAACAAACGCTGCCACATAATTAGATATTTGACCCATTCCAACAATAAGAAAGAGAACAGAAAACATTTCCCAGCTTGTTGAGAAGACCTGGAGAAAGCTAAAGGCAGTCTGGATCCCCATGGTTATAAACAGGACATTCTTCCGACCAAATCTGTAATGAGACAAAAAATAATAAAAGCAAATCAGACGGCTATTAAACAGTTTATGAAAATACTGAACTAGCAGAGACCAGCTAATTAGCATCAGAAAGAGATGCCAACTTTCAAATATATGAACAATGCTATATTTTAAATACATGAAGACAACAGTGGAATCTTCTCATGAAATTTCATTAAAATTTTAAGGGAGGAAAGATGATGATAAAGATTCTCCATGCAAGTTTAAATCTAATACATAGACAAAAAACATGAGAAAATAACAGATGGTTGGATTTTAACCCCTTAAGAGCAGGAGTCTTCAAACTTGGCCCTTTTACGGCTTGTGGACTTCAACTCCCAGAATTTCTCAGCCAGGTACGCTGGCTGAGGAATTCTGGGAGTTGAAGTCCACAAGTCGTAAAAGGGCCAAGTTTGAAGACCCCTGCCTTAGAGTGACCAAGGAGGTGGGAAAAAGGCAAAATGGCATTTCTACTGGCAGCCCCTTCACCCTGGAAACGGGTTACACTGTGAGGTCAGGCTATTCTCCCTACTTGATTGTTTGGAAAACAGAAGAAATACCAACAACTATGGAGATTCTCATTCATCCATTGTCCCAAAGGTGCTTTTTCTAAAAGGCAATTGAGCAACTTCTTGGATGAAAAGCGAAACATTTTCAAAGAAAAAAACCCAAGAAAGTCCAATTGCCTATTGAAAAAGCATCTTTGGGACGAGAAATACTAACTTTTTCTTCAAGACTTTTGTGGATTGAGTTACAAAATAGCACCAGCTTTTAAAGATGTTTTTCAAAAAGATTTTAATATTTTGATTTTATACATATAAAATATTGTGAACTTCTGATGTAAATGGCATACAAATAATGATAAATGAATAAATGTTATCTGATTAGAGATAAATATATATTGCTGGAAAAAAATGTCATCCAGAAATGTCATCGTGAATGAGTTGTGGATGAAAATAATAAATACAGAATTTATTATATATATATATTACCTGTCTGAGAGCTGTCCAGATATAAAGGATCCCAACAGCACACCCACGAACAATAAGGAAACAGTTAGTGGTGCTTTCCAGTCATTGTCACAAACAAGTTTCCACTAGAAAAAAAAGGTTTAGCATTTTAACTTGCTTGTAAAATATATGTTTTTAACTTGTAAAAAATGCTTTCCCAATAATCATTCCATAACCAATTACATTATTAAAAAAGGTTTACAGTTATCTATTATCATTTTCACATAAAAACTATCCCCTAAAATTATCTATCAAAGCCTTATATTATGCCTTTGCAACGTTAATATTCTAAAGAGAGCAATTATACAAATAGTTAAACAAATATTCATCAGAATTTTGGGGGGGACAAATAAGTCACATATTGATTATTCACATAGGGCCTTGGTTTTTAACCTCTGGTTGCTTTAAAAATGTTTAGTAAGTATACTGACCAAAATATTAAAATAAAACAGCGTTGATTGGTCCCATAAAAACTGCAACTACTACTGCAGGGTGAACTTTTTCTATTCATCTTTACAGACAGCCATTTGTGTACAGTATTCCATTCTACCACCATCTCCTTTTTTCCATTTCTCCCCACTTCAGTCAACCAACACTCTGTAAACAATGAGCAAATTAAAACTATATTTGAGTCTCTCAGGATTGATTGGTTTATTTGAATTTTCATTTTTATTTTAGACAGCCTCTGGTATATGCATAACTAGTTATTTTGACTACGTAAGGGCCAACATTTGGAGAAACAAGACTGCTATTTGTGTAGATGTCACACACATAAATAATATAGCCTGCTGGTCACTATGAGTAAATAGGAATTTTCCAAGTACAGTACACTTTGAAAATAAACACTAAATGTTAATACTAGGTTTCCTCATTGTTTTCATAACAACATAAGCAGTTAATTGTTAAGCATAACACACAAGCAGTGTTAATTATAGCAGAAATCAGCACTTCATTTTATCCCACACTTTTCAAGCAGTTGCTAGTGGTCATTTTAAGTCAGGTTTTCAAATGCCCAGAACAGCAAAAGCCCTTTATTTATGTCTAGTTAAAACACATAGTTTTGCACAAGAACAGAAAATGAACCAGTTGGCTAATTTTTGTGAACTGCCTATATTAATATCACCTTTCAATAACATTTACTTGGCAGACACAGATCAGATCAGTGTAGATAAACGAAGGGTCAAGAAGAAGAAAAAAATAAACATGAAATGCTATATACTGTAATCTGAAGCCAAATTTTTACAATACTATATGTCATATATACAATTATTTAATTTTGGCTATGCACATGGCATGAATATAGCCAATTAATTCATAAATCATGTTAATGGCTTCATATGTTCCAGAAAGCCAACCAACTGTAATTTATTCAATAAAACAAAATTAAACAAACCGAAACTTGGCTTGGTACAACATGTGATTTCAATCTATATTCCTAGTGATTATAAACTACAGTAGAAAAACCAGCTTTTATAATGTCACAAATTATCTATTACCACATGAATAAAATGTAAATACTGAATAATCCAGAATAAAATAAGCAAAACGGGTTGAATTCTACATTGTTACTTGATTCAGTTTCCCAATTTGCAAGAATAGGGGAAAATAATCAATATTTATTTCTCTGACAAGATTTTACAAATATCTTTCAAAACAGCAGAACTCATAGCCTTTATCACCCTGGGAACAGAAATCAGCTGACAGGGAACAATATTAAATATCACTAAAGTTATATTTGCACAGTGAGCTTCCACCATTACCACACAAATGCAGAATTATACTATGACAGAGAAATGTTGCTTGGACTGAATACAGTACTGTATAGCATATCAACTCAGGCAAAAATTGTTTTCATTCTCTAATGCTTTCCAAGATAGGTTACTGAAGTTCACTGACCTATAAGAGGCTGCACACCTCTTATAGTACTATATTTAATATTATTTTCTTAAACACAATGCACAAAATATAGAAGGTTGTAGTAAAAGAAAACGTAGTCAATACTTCTCAAAATTTTAGTTACTAATGCCAAGGGTGTTCTGAAAAAGACTTGGATCTTTCCCTGGCATTTAGCAAGGGTGAGTGAAGCCTGCTTGGATAGTCTGTTTTTTTTTCTGTTCCTATCCAATTTCTGTCATCTTTGCTATATTTTATTCTTTTTCTTTCTTTGTTGTAATTGTTTAAAAATGTTTTTACTTGTAAACTGCCCAGACTTGGTGGGAGTTGGATGGTACACAAATGTAATAAACAAACAATTCAAAAGGACTAAATTCAGAGATGACACACAGGAGTATGCAGAACAGTCAGTCAGCCCATCAATCAAATTTATTGCAGTCTCAGGGCCAATCAGAACATAAGATTCATCTTCTCAGTCTAGGAATTCAATAATGACAGAGGAGGAGGATACTGAATAGTTGAGGTCCTATTTAACATAGCATCCAGTGGCATGACACCAAAATATGATGTAGTTTATTCAGCATGTGATATTCACTTTGCCTGGCAAATACTTGGGGATTATATTTATAACCTCCAACCATATTCAAATGAAGTAAAACATATCCCGAGAATATCTGGTGACAGAATAAGTGTGTTTAACTTTGCTTTGCTATAACCTTTTAAAAATACTAATAAGATATTTTTTATTCAAATGTGATATTTGTTTCCCCCCCCCCTAAACAATAGAGAAAAATACTCTCAAACTATGGACTCACTTGGATTTTGGATAAATATTTTTTGACTTCCTTGCTTTCGACAATGTAACTGATAATGGGCTGAAACATGTTCATCTGAGTGACAGTTAATAATACAATCTCCTAGAACATTGCTTCTGCAATGAAAAGCGCATTTAAAATAAAATTCACCTTTCGGAACCGACAAATGAAACATAATTTCGTTAGACTAAAAATGTGAGGTGTGGAAAATGTGTTGCATCCCGTTTATTCATTTGTCAAATTTATATACATACAAAAAAATGTATGGACCACTAATTCTTTACATCAGAAATGGGCTGTGTACGACCCTGCATTTAATGTTCAAGTCTCATCAGCCTTAACTTGAATGCTAGCTGGGAAGAGAGAAGACACCAAATGCCCTGACGTGGGGGCATAAAAGTGGCATATTTAAAATAAGGTAAAACAATCATCTGTATCCACTTAAAGAAGTCCATAAAGCTCTTGTATGAGAAACCCAATTTTGCTACTCAATTTTTCTTCTGTAACATTGGAGGTATGGCAAGATTAGAAGCTGCCATGTAATATCCTCATCTTAAGTACCTATCAGTTTACCCTTTGCAGTTCTATTGGATAACATATACTGTATATAGTTCCATTGTTGCATGTTGTCTCTCCATGGCAGCTGATCCAATTTACATTTGGTTCAGCTATGATGCAAGAAAAAAATATCCTAAAGTTAGTTTTCAGCTGGAAATAATGATGGTTCTGAGCTATTTTCCTACTGCATGTCTTCCCAGCTTCATGCCATTGCAATAGATTATACAAGGAGAATGCTGCCTTGACAACATTGGACTGCATCTTCTGCTCCATAGCTTAGCCTCCGCCTAAGTAGCCCAGGCAAAGAAAGCAGACTTGAAAATGGTTAAGACTACCAGCTTTTCTCCTTTTATCTATCCCAAAATCAGCTGCTGAAAAGCAGCTGCAGAGGTTTTCGATTTTTCTTCCTTTCTTACCCTTTCACGTAGAGCTGTGAGATTTTGGTTGTTCAGCTTTTAGGGTTTCCTGCCTGAACAGGGGGTTCGACTAGATGACCTCCAAGGTCCCTTCCAACATTATTATTATTGTTGTTGCTGTTGTTGTTATTATTATTATTATTACTATCAACTGGAGGTACCTACTAAGATTTTAGTATTCAACTTTTTATGCTGAGGGGATTTTATTGAGAGCAAATGTCATTAATTTTCTTGTTTATCAAACAGTTTCAAAGAATCTCATAAAATTCTCGAATGAATAACAGATGCAAATGTGTTTGCCTGCTCTAGGTTAATAACTATCAGACACATGTGGAAAATGCAGATTGTACACATGCTGGTCTATGATCGAATAAAGAATTGTATGTGTGCGTGTGTGTGCAGAAGCCAATGATTTCGGTATTATGTATGATTGAACTTAATTGGCCACTTTTACAAGCATGGCCATAGGAAACCTAAAATATGGACATGCTACCTGTCTTATTGGATCAGAATTTGTATCTCCTGTGTTGCATTTGATGTTCAAGTTGACATTTTTATTTTAAGTTAACAAACCAGTATTATCTAATATGGGTACATCTTGTATACGTTTGAAGTTATCAGGAACTTTACAGAACACTTATTTGATCAAAATCAAAGACATAATAACCACTCAAGCTGAAAGATTAATAGTTCCATCAGAGGATTAAATGACATTCAATTTAAAACAAACTATAGTCTTTTAGTTTCTAACAAATTTTCAGAATGGCAAACTTTCCATGGAGGTAATAATCAATATTTGTTTATTAGTAAAAGAGTGGGATGCATCACATTTACCCTGTACCGGAAAGTTGTAGGAATGACAATGTGTATCAGTGCTCTAATCTGCAGGGGCACTGATGTTTGATGATCTTGCAGTCCTGGTATAAAAAAGTACACTCCTGAGTTAAGCACTGTCTCAGTACTGTGGATCTCTTACAAAGATACATTAATACAGCAAACAAAGACTTCAAATCTGTTCAAATGGATGCCAGAAAGAGGTGCAGTTGCTTTTCAATAAAAATAGTTAATTTTTAAAACTAAATTTGCACTATACCTGCTGTCTGGAATGTTCTGAGCAGATTAAAAAAATTATTTAAACATAAGAAGACAAAGCAAACAAAAATCCTGTTGAATATGCTAATAAGTAAGACAGGTCAAAGAAATGAAGTAAACATAAAAGTCTTAATCCTGATATAATCCATGTATTTCAAAAGCAATTTATAAAAATACACTGTAAGTCTCCTTGATTAAACAAGGCCATCTATTAAGACGTAGGAAATTAACTTTATCTGTTGCAGTGCCTACTCTCTGGAATGATATTATTCAGAACAAAGTTAAAATACAAAATACAAAATTAAATAAAGG